TGAAGGATCTCTTTGGTATTTACTCTTACTGCTCGATTTTAGGTGCAGTAAACACCTCTTATTTATACTTATGCTGGGTATGTAATGTTGAGATCTATGCATATCTATATGCAATATTGGCATGTTTTATGATTCGACTTGGAATTTTCTATTGGCATGTTTAATGATTGTATCGTTTACACTTGTTCATTTCCTTGGTTACAAGATTTCAAGCATGGTGAGCCTAAGCATGAAACAATTGTATCTATCAAATAATACCAACTTAAAAGCAAAAAATGTTATTTAAAATGCAATAACTCCAAGGAGTAGCCATCAGAGGAAGCTGTATGCCGCCCTGAAAGATACAATCGGTATGTACTGACTGTTTGATCCGACTTTCAGTTTTATGATCAGCAATTCCTACTGCAAAAACCTCGCTCAGAGATTACATTGGCTGTTAATGCGATTCTTCAATTGCAATTAATGGAATATCTGTGTATGTACATATAAAGTTTTGATATTTGGAAATTGGCACCATATGTTGTTTTCTGTAACTTATTGTTTACAACATTTTATAGAATGAAATGCTGAGTTGAAGTAAATATTACGCACTTATAATGCATTTAGTGTATTATCTCTTACGAGCTTCGACTGCGAGGATTTTCTCACAGAAATTTGCCTCTTTTGATATGTATGGTGAAGTAGACTGAACAATATTTGACATTATTACGAATAAAAATTAGTCAAATTATTCTGCACATGGCCATTTTTTCTCGTGTCGTTTGGAACCTTCCCCTTTTTTTGCCTTTCCGCCAAAAACTTGTATAATGACACGGCATGTATCATGGCGTTATAGACAATTATATGTTCTATGCCGAAGTTTAAGCTCATGTTTGATAGCGCTTAAAATCTAGATTTTTATTTAAATCAAATTCAACAATTCATTTCAATCATATATTTTATGGATTTCACAACTTTTTAATCACATATTTCATCAACTTTTATAACTAAAAATTTAATTTAATCCCCTACCAAACGAGGACTAGATTAAAGTGGATCAAATGTACGATGTTCTTGAAATAATTCCATTGGCACCTAATTAGGGTCGTAACACGATATGTTGTGTGAAATGGATTTTTTAAACTTGTCTTTTATTTATTTGTATAATAACCATTAGAATTGTAGAAAAGAATTGTTCAATCATAACATTTATGAGTTTTCTTAATTGTTGAAGTACCACTTGGACAAATAAAAATTTCCTTCGTTACACGATCTCTTCATCGTATAGATAGATATAAGATTTTCTTTTCTGTCTGAAATCTCGACACAGATTTAAACTCCGATCCTCTCAAAATCATTATACTAATGTATCATATCTTGTAACTCCAAATTTAGAGGGTATAAATGAACTGTTATTCATCAAAATTAAGAAATTTGCAACTGAAATCCAATTTCAGGAATACTATGGACCAATTTTTTATGCCCTAGACAAACGTTTTAAAGAGTAATGTTATATAAGTCTAATGGGGTTGTAAATCCAATTTATGTGACTTTAAAATGATAGATCAAGCAAAAGGTAAAATTAATTTTCACTCAATTTCTCCTTTTTAAAACACTATTGCATCCATATCAAAAAAAAAAAACACTATTGCATCGGTCCGATCTCTCACTCTCTCTCTCCCTCCCTCCTCTCCCTCACACACACACACACACACCCACCCTGCAATCAAGAATCCCTAATTCCCTAAGATGGAGTCTAAACAATCAAGTACAGAAGATTTCTCATCGGCAAAAGCAGTCTTGCTTGGAGCCTTAGCTCATGGGGTCAACGTATGAACTAAATTTCCCTTCTTTTGATCATCACTCCGAAGTTTCTGTTCCAATTATTTGTACCTATTTCAATCAATTTTATTTTTTTTTTCGCAAAATTTGATCTTTTGTTGTTTTGATTTCAGGGTCCTACTTGGAATACAAGATTTCATTCTTGATGCTGGGCCTATGCCTGGCTGCTATGTTGGGCTTAGCTTTCTCTTCCAGTGACTCTGCTTTAATACTCCGTGTTACATTTCTTGTACTGATTACGGGCACCCTTTTCTTGCTTCTTACGAGGTACCATAATTTTCTCATATATAGTTGGAATTTAGAAAATGTTTGGCTATGCCAAGAAAAAAAAGGTAAATTACTGGTTGAAAGTAATTTAAACTGATTGATAGGCAAATATGGAAAAGAATTTCAATTCTATGTTAGTTGGAAAATAAAAACCCACCAAATAAAGAAAATGCAGCTTAGAGTGGTTCTACTTTGGAATTCGATTTCCATTTTTGTATTGTAATCAAACGGTCAAAGTGGAATTCGTTTTTCTCGGACGTGACATGCCTAAAATCCCCTTGAAAAGTAACTTGTATAAAAGCTCAACATGTTAAGCAAAAAAAAGAGTTACTTGATAATAACTTTACTTTCTCTAGCCTTAGCCAAACACGTTCTTAGTCATTGAAGATAAGAGTTTCTTTTCATTTTGGTTTTTGGTATGTCTTTTCTTTTATGGGCATATGTACATATTGTTTATGTTTTGCGAGCATATGCAATGAATATTTTTTAGAACTTTGATCTGGGCAAGTACAATGTTGGATATTAAACCTTGTGGTTAATGGCATGTCTGGGTATGATTGAACTACGCGACACTGTTCTGGACAAGCAACGCAATTTTAAATTATTTTCATACCTTTAAAATCTTGTATAGTGTTGTTCAATCCAGAATATTGGGAATGCCATATTAGTTTTTGATGGACCATCCGGGTGCGTCTTTCAGTACTTGGATTGGATCCATGGTGAGCAAGTTCGTGGTTCTTCTGAGATGATAGGTATGTATATGCAGTGATAGACTGATAGGTGATAGCTGAAGATCTATTTGGTTCAAATGCGTAGCAACAAGAGAAATAAACTTCAGTATAATGCATGTCTTTTCTAATGAAATCAATGATTGGAATAGGGATTCCTAGCATTCGTATAAAATCCTAAATTGTGCTTTTAGGGACTTAAACAAGTTTTTTCTTAAATCAAATTACAGGAAACAGATCGCACTGCAATCTTAACTTCATGCTCTATATATTTTTGGGGTTCCACTTGTACAGGGGATTTCCCCCTGTATGAGTGCCAGGGAGTACATGTAGCACGGTCATATTTTTGTGCTGGAACTTGGTATTAGGCTCTTGGATATTGCACTCATTTTAGAAACACCCTGAGAATTGTCTGCTGACAGAACTAATTAATACAAATATTCTTCCATCCTTCTTGCCATCCTCCCAAATTATGCATGTAATAGTTTCTTTAACATCCAATGGTACCATCAATGCGATTCCTTATAGTTTTTTTTTTTTAAGACTTCACAGTTTATAAAACTCTCTACTGAATATCAAAATTTCCTGATCTATGGGAAAATCCTAACAGAGACCCTGGTTCACAGGCAAGTGGTATTTTTTGGTTCCTCTTGTAGTTGTGGCTGGTCACCTGACGAGTGGCTTTACATTCGCCCTGAAATTTTCTGGGATCATATAAAATAGGTCTAAGTATATTTTTTCTTTACTCTATGATCTGTGCATTTATATAGCTCCTTAGAAATGCATTATTACATCATCTTTTGTCTTTGTTTTGTTTGCTGAATATTAAATTCATTAACTGATTGGAGGAATAGAAAACGAAATACTCATTCTTTCTATCAGAACCTTTTGAGCAAGAGCTATTGAACGTTACTATCTTGATAAGAATGATGTTTTTCTTTTGGTAATCATTCATTTGTACATTTAAGCTGAAATTTCACGAAGTTTTATTGCTTCAATTGGACTTTTCGGAGCTATAATGTGTTGCCTTGAGCAACATTCTTATGCCTCTATCAGTTTGATTTGAGCCATCAAGGAAAAATCCACGTCTCTGAACTTTTCATTATTTGACTGCATTTGTGGATGGATAATAATCGAAAAAATTAACGCTGCTTCATGCTAATGGTTTTCTTGGCTCCTAGGATAAGCTTGCTTACATTTTGCAAAAATCTAATTATGTCTGCTGTTTAATATGAGTTTCTGAAAATGTGGCTAGATGGTCAACATGGACTGTGGCGAGTAAACCATTTTTGGTCCGTGGACTAAATTCTTGTTATAAACCTGTAGAATCTTGATAGTTTAGGTGCATTTGTTTACCTTTGATTTGATTTCTAGAGTTAGGAATGCATATGTTTATAATGCAATCGCAGACTTCTGCTTCTGACTCATTCGAATCTATTATTTTGTAGATTTCTTGCTGACACAGGACTCGTCTCAGTCGAACATCAAATGCAGGAGATTGGCTTAGTGCCCGAAAATGGAGGGGATAAAAGCAAGAAGAGCAATTGAAGGAATACAATCACATTATACAGTTTCAGAAAGACAAGACATGAAAGATACAATCTCAAGTAAAAAGAAGAAGCTTATAATTCGTCTCCATGACTTTCGAAGATCTGAAGACCATTTCTTCGTTAAATTGTGCTTCAATCTTCCTTCGGTTCTTTCTTCGATTTGTCCTTTTTGCCCTTGATGAAGCAGAAACACGAGCAGCAGGGTAACTGAAACAAGAACTTCATTTCTTCTCTTTCCTATATGACATCTATTTTGACACAATACGACAATTATAGAGGACGAAAGCCTTGCTGTTTTGCCCATTTGTATTATTATATTTTTATTCTTTTCCTAAACTTTTCAGATAAAGATGCTTATCATGTTCAAACACTCACAGATAAGAAGGTGCTTAATTCTCCGGCTCAAGATTGCTCCATTTATCTATTGTTTTTTATTCCTCAAGGCAGATATTACAGTATTCAAATATATTAAAGATGAAAAATGAAGTTAGAATCTTATAATTGTCATGAAAGCTGACTACAGTGATCAGGGAGTTTCTGGCACATTAAAAAGATTTGGTTTTATTAGTGGAAAAAGCTTAAAAGGAAATAAATTCTACAAAAAATGAAAATTGATATGCAATTTGCGAGTCTTTCACTTCCAAAGTTCTTCCATTGGGATGCCACGCTCCTCAGCCACTTCACTGAATTGCCTCATTTTCTGCACAGCTACGACCGTGGCTCGTGCATTATTGAGCGCATTGTTGCTACCGAGTTGTTTCCCCAATGCATTTTCAACCCCGGCCAGTTCTAAAACAATCCTCACAGCACCTCCAGCAATAACTCCAGTACCTGGTGAAGCAGGTCGAAGCATAACCCTAGCTGCCCCATAGTCTGCCTCAGATCTGCCATTTCAATTTATCAATAATATCAGAAGTAAAACAAAAGGTGAGCTTCAACAGCTAACTAGTAATGTCAGCCTGAACATGTTGGTATTGCGTGAATGTTTCATGAAAAAACTTATCAGATTTAACAATTGAATCAAACAACCTATTCGACCCTCCCTTCTAGATGGTGGTCACAAACTGCATCTAAACATTACGACTTCAACCAATTCATATTAGCTGGTATCTCCACTGAGTCCCAACTCTTACATAAGAGATTGGTTTTGAACTAGGACCAAACAAATGCTACCCTCTTTCTTCCTAATAGACGTTGACTATCATTTTCATTTAACGTTAATAATTTGGACCCTAAAAGTAGCATGTGCTGGTGGGATTGCAAATATATCAATTTTACATAACCTCTCACAAAAGACACCTTTGGATTGAACAGGATTGCCAAAAGATTCATGTAATCGAGCCAACTTTATTGCCATTAGACTTAGCTGCTGCTGCTTCTCGTTGTTTAACATTACCATATCCCAACTCCACTCCAACATCAGTATCAAGAACCACAAATGTATACAAGCTTGATATCAAAATGCTTACTGTCACTATTATTCCCAAAGCCAAACTTCCAATCAATGTCATAATCTAATCAACTATTGCACTATCAGACTATAAGAGTCCTCATCTTAAAACCAATTACCTAAAAATCCAGAAAACCCACATTCAGTTAATAATTATACTTGAGATTTATAATTCAGTCAATGCACGCAAACTTCATCAGCAACGTTCAAAACTTCATAGAAACCAGAATTTCAATATTCCTCAAACACATTTCTACAATGCCAACACATCCATCGAGAAAATCAATCAAAACCAAATGCTTTTTATTAAACAAAATTGTGTAAATATGCATAATCTTTGGAACCCCAGAAACTATCACATACTTCCCTTCAACTAATCAACTCAAATAAATGAAAGGTGAACCCAACAGATAACGGATTATTGATGGTTAGTCAAAGAAGCATAAATTTAGTGTTGAGTCCCGGTTTGGAACTCTTTTCTTATCTGAATCTTAAGGACAGGACCCTGCCCCATTCTGGAACCCTCTGCCCTGCTCTACACTGCCCGCATTTCCTTTGGAAGGGGCCAAAAAAATGTCTCCACCTGTTGCTGACACCCACAAATATAGGAAGGGGATTTGCCTATTGTGCTGATCTAAACCATATTGTCTAAAAGCTTAAACTAAAAGAATTACCTGTGTGGGAAAGTCTTGTACTTGGTCATGGGAACTGTAATGATATTCCTCCTGGCATTAACAGCAGATTTTTGAACAGCACCAATTACCTCCTTAGCCTTGCCTACTCCAACCCCCACATTCCCCTGTTTATCACCCACCACCACAACAGCCCTGAAATGCAATTGCTTCCCTCCCTTCACCACTTTAGTAACCCTCCTAACCTGCACAACTCTCTCCTCAAATCCATCTCTCACTTTTTCTTTCTTCGCCTTAGACCCGAACCCAGTTGTTTTCTTTATCTTAGAGTTCATTGCATACACGTCATTGCCGAGAAAAGTCTCTCCACTGTACGCAGCACCATATAATTCCTCGTAGGCCTTGGCAATCTCGTCCTCTGACTCGAATGGGCCTTCGTCAAAGGAGGGTGGTGGGACGAAGTCTTCGGGGCGTTCTGGTGGGCTGAATGTGTAGATTTCTTCAGGGTCAGTAGTGTCGAAGAATGTGGTGTTGATGTCTGAAGAATTGGCATTTATTGAAGTGAATTTGAAGCGGAGGGAGATGGGTTTTTGGGGGTGTTTTGGGGCAAAGGAAGGGTGGAGAGAAGAGAGGCAAGAGGGGAGGTGGGGATGGAAGGAGAGGGAGGAGAAGGTGGCGGAGAAAGAGGCGGTGGAGGCGGCCATAGTGGTGGTTGTAGGTAAGACAAAAGTATTCGATCAGTAGCCCGAGGATAAGACTGTGTTTCTTTCCTCAACGATCGTGTTTCGGAGTCTTGCGTTCAAGCTCCCAAAAGAAGAGAATGAAACATTGTATTTGCATCAACTAAAAACAAGTTCTTTTGGGTGATTTAATCGGGTAGTCTATTACTGGGTTAATTAATTTGAATCATTGATGATAATAATCGATCAAGTTTTTAACTATTGCACTAATAATTACTCGTTCAAAAAATTAATATTAAATAAATTAGAGATTTTTTAATTTCTACTCTATATAAATAAATAAAAATCTTTCAAAATTGTTATTCTTGAAACAAATCAAGCAAAAATCTTAGTGAAGGAATCAACGAACACGATAATCATAGATAATAAAATAAACTGAACAAAAACGAAAATGCAAGTTTAAGATTTTATTTGAAAAATGCAATATGATAATATTACATCAAGCATTTAGGCAATGCTATAGCTACAAATTGATGAGCGATTCCTTGTACAAAATACTGTTTCAGACTGAATAATAGGTTACAAGACAGACTTTGAAGCTTGGTATAAAAATTACAAATAGGAAAATACAGTGGCGATTTATAATTTGATCGAAAACAGCATTCTCAGACCATCACAGCTTACTAGGTATTAGTTTGTTAGAGAAGTTCTTATCCGTGCCAAGCTCAGCTGTATTTTTCAGTAACTCATTCGTCTCAGCAATAAATTTGGAAAATCGAGAACCCTTGGTTTCATTTTTATCTTCTATGGGAAACTGAGGTAGATTGGGCAAGAAGGGACTGGGTTTTGGAGATAATGGTGGCATCAATGCCCATACAGAAGAAAGGTGTTCATTAGGCTTGTCGAGATCTTCTAAAAGCGAGTAGTCCTGCATATCTGCATCATATAAGTAAAGAGTTATCACCAGAAAACTCGGTAGTTAAGCAAATATATAATAGCGCTGGAACCTATAGGAGAGATCACATTCTTTTCCCTTTGTCCTATTTTAACTTCTCTAAGTATATTCAAATAAATTGCATGTATCGAATTTACCACAAATAGTTTCTTCGACCAAGGAATTTAGTATTTGAGTTAAAATTGGATGACCTTTGGAGAAATTGAAGGTTGGCGCCAGAGCTGCACATGGAATGCTAAAGTTCAAATGTGGTATAACAGTCCCTCCACCATGCCTGGCATTGCTGCACTAACATTAGAAAGTTAAAGATCAAGTAATTTGCAACCAGCACACGAAACACCACACACACACACTGAGGCAAATGACAAGCGGTAAGGATAGCTACAAACTCTCAATCATTCAACTTATTTACTTGTAATTTTAATCTACGCCAAACCCGGGATAAATTTATTAATATCTGAGAGTTAGTATATTAAACTTTTAAGATTGGCCAAACATGCTCTTAGTCATTTATTGTATTCGAATTCCGTACCTTGTGACAAGACCAATCATGTGACCATCAGAATTGACAACGGCCCCACCACTACTGCCAGGATGAACAGCAGCTGTTGTTTCAAACATAGCTGGAAAAAGTTCTTCTCTACTCAGCTGATTGGATTGCAGTTTAGGCCTCTTTGCTTCAATTACTTTAGATATTACACCATGGCAAGCAGATGGAAGGAAGTCTGAAGAAAAAATAAACTCATCAGACTAGATAGCAGTAATTAGGTTGAGGTCAAAAATCCCAATTTATCATTGAATGTTAATAAAATGAAGTGGACTAATATAGAGCACCTTGTGATGTCATCAACAAATAACATTAATCTTCTTTAGTTAACATTGTAAAATTTACCCTTAATACAGTAGGATAGATGGCCAAGGAAAGGCCTTTCATATACCATCCGTAAATTCTTAAGAGAATTCAAATCTTTGAATAGTCCAGTGAAGTATTTTATTGAAAAGAAATTAGAGAGGAAACAAGATAACAATTAGGTACGGTTCCATCTCTATTGATGACCAGAATCCAAAGGGGAAAGGGTACCAGAAAAATATAAAAGAATAAAGCATGGTTAGATGAAGTGCTCACTGCATCGTGGTCCAAACAAACCATGTCCAATTATATATGCCTTTGATCCAGGGGATGGACTAGTGAAATCCATGACAATGGGACAAAGTTGATCCGATGCGGTCTCAAGCTTCAACAGGGCAATATCCAATGGCCCTCTGGAAACATAAACAACACTAGCATTGCTCCATGTCCAAGGATCCATAAAATCTAACCGGACACATATGCTTCTAGGGCTGATGTTGGCCAAGCCACGTCTAGATAACCCCTGCTCACCATTAAGCAAAATATCCAATGGTCTCGATTTTGTTGGATGCAAATTCTGAGGACCGTTAGGTGTAGATTCATTGGTTGGAAAAGTAGCAACCTTGGACTTGATCTCATTTATTTCACCATTTGCAGAAGCTTTACCAAATCTCCATGGCTCCAAGAGATGAGCATTAGTAAGAATGAGACCTTGTTTGTTGAGCAAAACACCAGAAGCCCATGATCCATCATCGATGGTAACAAGACAAATAGAAGGCATTGCCTTGTCTACAGGAGAAGGAAGAAGGGGACCTGAATGAGGATGCTCTTGCACGTCACTTGAGGATCCATCTAATTTCCCTTTGGGCGATGTCTTCAAATTTTCATCATTACAATGGTTCCCTTTCCTTTTAACATGGGGCTCCTCGTGCAGCAATTCACTGCAACCCGATGCAATGGCATCCCACGGAATCACCAGCTGTCATCCAAAACCACCATTTTGGGAAACAATTATATATAGTAAAGCAAACTTCTATGGTGTTCTACTGTTATTGGTTTGAACAGTGTTAAACATAACCTTAGTCCTTGATATTAACTACATACAACTCCTAGGATTCGATGAATGATACTATGGAAAGATCTTGCCCTTCATAAGGCACGTAAAGGTGTTTCCAATAGCATATATGTGTAAAGAGATGTATAACAGAAAACCACCATTAAATCAAGAGTTTTCAAAGTTGAAAGGTATTGACGATAAAATTGGCTACACTGCACTGGTTAGAGATGTCTCATAATATGTTTGAATATAGAATACGAAAAACCATCCTTTTAAGATTTATTTAATGTTGAAAAGACTAAGGCCAAAGACATAAAAGCTAAAAATGCCATACGGTAGGGCACAAAGATAAATTTAAACTGTACTTCCAAAAACGAATCAAGTACAGACGTAAATGATACTATTGCTACACATTTTAGAAGGATTTCCCACAAATAAGACATGTAAGAGCAAAACCATTCCTATATACCTGAATTTCAGTGCCACTGTTTTTTTGCCTCAGTGGTCTAGCCAGAAGACCGATAAGTTGAGAACATTCTCCGAATACTGGGCTACCTTCCATTCCTATCCAATGCAGAGCCAGAATGAAAAAAGACTTCACAAGAAAAATGAAGCAAAGATAGATTTTCAGGACAGTCACTCGCACCAGGAAGACACCTAATATCAACCATCAATAAAGATCTTTTGGAGGAACTGGGTGGATAGCTGTTGCAAATGGACCCCACTGATAAACTAATCCAGCAGTAAAAAGAGTGAAATGAGCACTCAAAACAAAATTCGATGTATCAAAAAGATAACATATATGAAGTATGATGCAATTTATATTCAAAAGTGAAGCAACCCCATATATCAATTTCTCTTATTTCAGAAAGGTTGGGTCATGGATCATCTGACACTTCAAGTGAGCTCACCATGCACATATTCAAAGCATTTATGTTGAGGCATAGGAATCCGCAACCACAATTACCAACTAACAAGTAACAAGAATTCAATCATTAGAGGAATAAAGGGGAAGAAGGAATTATTACTTGTTAAAGAAATGTACAGGCGACAATATGCCAAAAGGAGAACCCATAGCCAGAACAAGATCTCCCCTCCTGGGTACAGATGTATTTAACTTCGGAAAATTCTGTAGGAAAAAGAATTATACTGTCATCACTGTCACCTTCCAACGTAATTGTATAGACAAAACGCCCAACAAGGAAAAAAATTCCAATTTCAATGTACTTTTTGCTAGTGTTATCGAAATGATGTGGTTCTGATGATTAAGGTAGATAAAAAATCATAATACCTCAAAAAGTTTTGAGGGAATAGTGAGCAGGGCAATCCTCGTGGTTGATTGGCCCATAAGATACGGATTGCTCAACTCCATCCCAAGCATTTGTCTTTGGCTCTGGAAGGAAAATTGCTCAACCTGAAATGATCAGTTGATAGTTCCTGTTACATAATACAGAATGACAAAAGATTAACAGTTTATTGAACTAAAGAAATTTAACAGTTTAATGGGATTCAGAGTGACTTCTCTTCACCACACAAGCTAATCTTTCATATTCATATATGCCCAAAAAAATGATATTTAGTAATGGAGGAATATTCTAGTTAAAATTGAGAAAAGTGACCCGGTCAAATCACCTGTGACTGAATGGTCTCCATAATATGTTGAGGACCACGGTTATGAGAGGCTAGCGACCAACCAACTTCCCAACCATGCTCCAATGAACCAGAAGAAGCTTCAATCAGCGATTGAACAGCAGAAGATGATTCTGGAATGTTAACCTCCAAAGAGTACATCACATTTACAGTGTCAAGTAGCTTTTAGTGCGTTTGAAAAGATCATCGAGAATAAAAATAGAATCCAGGAAATGAATATGAATCCAACAACTTGATACCATAGAGAATGAGAAAGCTAGAAGAGTGTCTAGGTAAACTTTATGTTTTGTAGCTAAAAGCCTACCATCTTTATCAGTTCAGCAGGCAACCAAGCCTCCTCATTCCCCACTTTATCACCTTCCAGCACTTTTGTGCCCTAGTTGTCAAAAGACATGTATTATCGGTCAGCCAAAAGAACACTCAAAAAGTCACCTAGAAAATAATATCTTTTAATGTGTAAGAGTAAGACCTCCAACATTATATCAATCCGAGCACCAGGTATCAATTGGGCTTTGTCCTGCAAGAAAGAAAATGTAAAATTAAAAAAAAAAACCCAAAAGAAACTGCCAATACAGAAACAAATAAATCTACACGAAGTCATTTACATGCTATTAATATGTCAGAAATTCCAACCTTTGATATGTTTTCCCTGAATTTTTGTGATAAAAATGGCTCAATTACAGAAGCAACTGTCAAAACTTGCACGGTGTTGCTGCTGCTTGTAGAAGCATCCAAATCAAAACCCAGAAGAAGTGTTCCGGATGCAGAGAGTGTTGTTTTGCCAGAACTACAAAAACATAGTAACAAAATTCTACTTCAATAAGACAATAACAGTGTCACCACCCTGTTTATCTTCATGTGGTTACTACACATAATCAAATAATACTCCAACTATCCCAAATATGCACACATATATATTTGTAAGTATATGTGTAAACGACAGAATAACTTACTTATAATGGTGGAAAGCGTGATTACGCATTTTGAGTCCCTTTGGGTCCTGAAAACATGGAACCCAAAAAAATCATATAAAAAAATATATAAACAGTTTAAAAGAAAACTCAAATTCCAGCTACAGAAGGGGTTTTGTATACAGGCTAAATAGATAGATTCACGGTGTATGAATCAAATGTCCAAATTAAGAAAAAAACCTAAGCAAATTGACTATGTATTTGTTATTAACTACATACTATGAACAGCAAAATTGGACATCCGTTCAATATAAAAATAAAAATAAAAGAACTCGGTCTGGTTCAGCTTTAAAGATGAAACTCGAATATAGCGTCAGAGTTCAAAAACCTTATAAGGGTAATTCCATAAGACTAAAACTCAAACAAGCAATCGAATTATAAAATTGATATTGTGAAACAAGCTAAACCAGCGATTGAATCAATATAAAATTCAAACAACCTGTCAAATTCCTAATTTGGTATTCTAAAACAATCTAAGATCCATCGAAAACAAAAAGGCGCAGTCAGATTTCAAATTGACATTCTCAAACAATCCCTACGAGCAATTAAATCCCTTGAAAGCTCAATCAAACACGAAAAAAAAAAAAAAGGAGACGAGACTTACAGGGCCTTGAACTCTGACCATGACCGCGAAGTTGCGGGCGAAATCAGCAACTTCAGGGAGGGCCATACCGGAGAAAATTGGATTGGAGCGAGCTCAGAGGACCCGGAGTCGAAGTAGCATATAGTAGAAATTAGATAGAGAAATTCGATTTTGATTCTTACGAATTATTAACATGATTTTGATTCTTACGAATTAATTATTAACAGATTGAATGAATCCAGCATGTCATGACAGAAGACTTGAATCGATTGAACCAAGTTCGAGTCTTACGGGGAATTATGAGTATAAAACGACTACACTTTGGTTTTCTTTTGTTATGTTTTTGTTCGGGTTAATTTCACAAATGATCATTGAAATTTGAGTGAAATTTCATATTGATCAATAAAGTAATTTTATGACTCATTTAGTCATTAAAGTAAAATAATATACTAATATGAACATATTTGGTCACTTTGTCCAGTTAGATAGGAATTAAAATTAAAATTTTAATTTAAATTAAAGTAAACAATGAATTTTAAGCATATATTTCATGGATCCCACAACTTTTCGACCATACAATTGATCATCTTTTATTAAAATCACTAAAAATTTGATTGTAATCCCCACCAAACAAAGATTTTATTAGCGTTGTCCACTCTAAATTCAATACTGAGACATTAGACCTCGATATTGACTAACAATTGTTGTGTTCAATTTAAATTAAAAATCTTCTTTGTACACTATCATTTTTTGGAAAAAAAAAAATAATAACGTTGATCGGAAAATCCCAAAATGCTTTTGTTAACCCTATTTCATCATTGAAAAAAGGGTAAAAAGCTCACTACAAGTTAAATCGAAACGTCACTTGGAAGGTTTAACGATGCTTAGTTCACGTGAATGTTTTAACCGCCAATACATGCATATAACGTTAATCATTAGCGAATAATTGTGTAATACTAAAGTGACAAGGCATATTTGATAGTCATTATTTTGACAAAATGGAGTTTTGAATTGAGATTTTTTGAAGAATGTGTGATTAAAAAGTAGGAAAAAAATTGAATTTGTCTGCAAAATATTTTATTATATAGATGTGTGGTTAATAATAAATATGAGAATTAAAAAAATTTGAAATAATGGTTGTCAAACATAGGCTAAAATGAGTCACATTACAACGATTTAGAATTTGTCTTGCACTCCAGTGATCATTATCGAAATTAATTCGTTTTTATTTCTATTTTTGTTAAAAATCGAATCCATTTGAATTCTTTTTTGGTCCCAAAATGATTTTTATTTTTATTTTTTGTGTGGGTGTAAAGAGGCATCAATTGGATTTTTAAGATTACTCTGATAGAGGTTATTTAAAAAAGAAAAAAAAAAAACATTAATGAACAACTCACTTCTTAATAAATTTTAATATCGATCAATTTGTTTCATTTGTAATTCTATGAATGATTTTATGGCATAAAATATTATTTTTTTCTTCATTTTCGTCAAGTGCTAAACTTGTTCTACATATTTAATTTTAAGAAATGATAATTAATGCTGTGTTAATTTAAGAAATTTTAAATGCCAATAACCAACAAAGTGGATATCTTTCTAGTCAAAACTTTAGATGAAATTTGTTTATTGAAATGTAAATTTAATTTTAACAAAAACATTATTTGGATGTGATTGATCGAACAAAAAAGGAAAATTAAATTAAATTTTTATCATATGAACTACTGAAAGTCGATCATCAATTGATTAAAATTAGGTCATCAACATGTGGATATGACCTTTCAATAGCTACGCAAATTAATTTGCATAAAGTGGGTGACATAACGCGACAAAGGACAAAATGAACTTTTGTGTCGAAAATGGATCGATGTGAACCTGTTTTCCCAAATTCAATTGCACGATCAAACTAATTAGTTCTACAGGATAAATAGAAAATTATTCAAAAATTGAGTTCAATTACGTGGAAAAATATCGAAAACTCAGAATCCATCAAAAATCTAAGAATTGGTCGCTTCACTTATTAATTACGATCTTGTCTAAAATCATAAATATTTTATACACATTGTAACAAATAAAGTGCGTCTTACCATACACTTAACCGCATAATGCTTGTAGAAAAGCGATGAACCCCCAATGGAAACTGTCTACACATTCTAAGGGATTGAGCTACGGCAAGGCCAGTGTGGGAGCAAAGAACAGTTATCTTTATGACTCAATAAGGATCAGCTTGCTTACTTCTCAAACAATAGTTTCACGATTCTGACCAACAACTTGTTGGGAGTAGGGGCATCATAGGTAATCCAAAAATGATATAATAAAAAAAAATCTATGATATTGATTATTTTCATTCCATAAGTCTAATGTGTAAACAAGTTTTTCAATTATATTTACATAGGATGACCACTAGTATCTAATTGTTATATAAGTGTCTGGTGTTAAACGATTTGACGACAATGAACAAAGTGCCCTAAATAGAGACAAAATTAATTATAGGGACTCAACGGATGCAATATTAATATATAGTGACTCGATTGACATAAATTGAAGTATATTGAAAGTTTTTACTACTCGATTGAAAAATTCGTAAAATTACAAATTTACCCATTTTGTAATGTACATTCATCTATCAACTCCCCTATATTGATACTGTAGAATCTAAATATGACAAAACTTTGTCGACACCTATTAAAAGCAACAAAACCATTTAGAAGTAAAAGTGAAAATCGAAGGCTCCTATTGAAGTCAAAATGCACTTTAAAATGGTTAGTGTGCGTAGTAGTTGGCCACCGAATAACCGCTCTGGCAACTTGCTTTCTCAATAACAAAAAAATGAATTTTCTTTTATTTCGACGATGACATTTTAACTTTTCTATTTTATTTATAGTGTCGATCTTTGTGAAATAATATCTATCCACTTTGCTAAAATTCCGATGTGTATTCGAAAAACCATTTTTCAATGTGAAGCGAATGATGCTTATGTATAGCAAGTAGCAACAGTGACGCGATTTCTAGATTTCTAAAGCAATCAGACTGCAATTGGTAGACTGGGAAAAGTTCAAGATGATTATCAAGATTTTTGGGATCGAGATCTAGACGGAGGGAAGGGGATGCCTATAGGGTCCTCGACTCCCAAGTTTGTAAATATTTTATTGTTATTATTTTTTACTTTTCTAAAAGTTATTAAAAAAAATACTTATGGTTTAGTTTTGTCTTACTTTTGTATTTAATTATATGAGTAAGATACGTTAAATTGACGTCAAAATAAGATTTTAATGTAAATTAAGGTTAAAAATGGAAACAAAATCGAATTATTATATGCATAATTGCTGCTATTTTTGATTCATTATTTAAACTCGACGTTTAATGGTTTTTAATTCAAAATGGGCATTGTGAAGTTTGCATATATACTTCGATATAATACTTAAAACTTAACACGAGGAGTGAAGAACATAAATGGAAAATAAGCTGAAAGAGGTGAAACCAAGTTCAGAATTAAACGAAAAAAAAAAATAGTATTCTTAAATCCATCTTTAGCATTCATATTTGGCTTGTTTGTTTGAACTTTCCCCGGAAATAAATTGAAAGATGTGACATCAGAATGTGATTTAAGTGATATAAGTAGAAAATATGAATAGGCTCTAAACAACGTATTTGACTTGTTGCTTTGAACTCGTCATTTAACGAGTTGTCTATATCAAAAATGTGTTACAAAGAAATCAAGTCAATTTGGAAAGCCCATGATACATTCCTGGCTCCATCACTGTCTAGTGGACACCACCTATCATACGATATTTTTTTTATTGGCATAATTTTCGTATTTATATTCATAGCATGACAAAGATTAGAATAGGGACATTAAAGATCCACGAAGGATCATATTTAAATGTCAGGAGAAAAAAGTGAAATTTTGTAGTAAAAAACTCGTGAAGATGAAGAATCAATATCTTACATGATGAATGTGCAATCGAGAAGAATGAATGATGACCGAAATGCATGCCATCAATAGATTGTTTCAAGCGGAGTTTGTTTTCTACTGAAATGTCTTATTTTACAAATGATATTTCTCTTCTACCTTTCCCGTGGAATGTAAAAATACATCGGTACTCGTTCCTTCTTAAAGAGAAGCCACCATACAAGCAATGAGTGAGATAATCGATGCTTTTGTTCTAGTTGAAAAATCCTTAATTTAAAGTGCAAAAATAACAAGAGAGTAGTTCAGAAAGTACTAGAAGGTGCCTCCATTACCTTACTCAAAAATAATAATAATAGTAATAATAATAAATAAATAAATAAACAAAACCTACATGAATTTGAGCACCTTAACTTGCCAAGATCTCGACACAAAGCAAACCTTAATCCATTGGACTAACATTTTTGATACCGCTCGATTTTTTCCTTATCTTTTATGAGAAAATTATACTGAGCCCTGATTTTAGTTTTCCATTTTCACAAATCACCTCACAAGTTTAACTTTTCAAATATCAGGTTTTTTATATTTAATTTAATATTAATTATATAATTTTCATCCAAATTAAAATAATCCAAATCAACCCTAAAATTCATTCCACCTCCTCCCCATTTCTGTGCTTGGACAGCCGCCCAACCAGTTTTCTCTCTACCCCCTCCTCTCTCGCCGCTTTCGACCCCGCCCCTGCCACGATCTGAAACGGCGATTGAAACGCAGTCAACTAATCCTACCCCCCTCCCACCTCATTTCCCCCCAAATCCCTTCATTGTCAAGTGATGCAGCTGCCAACGCCTATCTTCTCCCTCAAATCGTCGGACCACCATGACGATGTCGTGGCTGCAGCAGTACAAATCTGTGTTTTTTTAGTGGTGACCACCACGACGCGACTGCAGCGATCTAGATCTGTAGTGGGCTGTGTTGCAGTGGAGTGTGGTTGCTGTGTGACAGTTGGTAATTGAGTGGTGCAGTGTAGTTTGTGTGGTGATGCTGTGTTGCAGTGGAGTGTGGTTGCGGTGTGACAGTTGGTAATTGAGTGGTGCAGTGTAGTTTGTGTGGTGATGCTGTGTTGATGTGGGTGTGGTTGCGGTGCGATGGTGGATCGTGCGATGGACGATCGTGCGGTTGGGTGTGTGCATTGCGTGCATGTGGTGGCGGCAGCGGTGGTTTTGGGGTAGTGATAATGGTGCTGGGGAGGGGGTGGTGTTCGTTGTGAAATGTTGATGTTGCTATTGGGTAGCAACGATGGTGGTGGTGAGGTCGTTTTTTGGTGGTGGTGGTGAGGTCATTTTCTGGTGGTGAAGGTGAGGTCATTTTTATTGGGGGTTGGTGGTGGTTGTTGGCCGCGATGGTGTGTTTTTGTGGTGGTGGTAGTGGTGGTGTTGGCCGCGGAGATGACGGTGGTGTTGTGTTGGTGTTAAATTGTGACCAATAAAGAATAAATTGTGGCCAATAAATATTGTGTAACCTACAAATTTATTAATTTGTAACCAATAAAAGTAACATGTGACCTATAATCTGATGTTTTGTGACCACAAAATAAATTGTGACTTATAAATTTTGTGATTTGTGTCCGATGAACAAATTGTGACTTTTAAATTTTTAATTTGTGACCGATGAACGAACTGTGACTTATAAATTTTTTTAATTGTGATCTTAAAATTTTTGAATAGTGACCAAATTACATAGAGTGACTTTAAATTTTTTGAATTGTGACCAAATTGTATAGATCTGTGACCTTTATATATTTATTAATTAAATATATAATTAATTAATTAAATTATAAATAAATTTTAATGAAAACCTGATTTTTGAAATTTAAAACCTCAAACCTTAATTTTGAAATAGTGATACTTAAATACTTTATTTACGTATTGTTCCCATCTTTTATTCTCTTGTTATCTTACTTAAGAGCATCGAGTGATTAGTGAGTTAAGATGTAATTACTCAAGAATTCTAGAGGCATTTGCAGGATCGTGATTGCGCCAAAATAAATAATATATGAAGTTAAATTAATTTTTTATATGCAAAAGAACTTCTTTAAATATTTTTTTATTTTATATTCAGGTACCCCAACTTACACCGTACTATCGCCTGAAAAAATATTGCTAATTTATTCTCGAACAATAGATGGTATCGCCTGTTGTTTCTTTTCCTCCAGTTTCTCCAATTTCTTTTTGATTTGGACGTCCGATTTCTGTTTCTTCATACTCGACCTTCCACTCCAGTTAAAATTGGAGAAAATTGTAACATAAAAATGGAGACAACCTATACATAGATATATACATCTATATATACACACGCAACTAGTATACACACACATACAGACCGAAGAAAACGCCACACTCAAATTACCTCCACCCGTCGCTGACACCGCCACCCACCGCCACCGTAGCCCACCACCGGCTCGCCCAGTCAATGCCTGCCCAGAAGCGTTCGTTCGAGACTTCTCCTCCTCGCTCTCCTCCGCCACCGTCACCGCCCGAGGAAGAGAACGCCGATGATTCGCACCAGAATCAACATCCCGAACAAGCCGATAAAGGAGATGGTAAGCGCTTACATGCGTATACATGGATATGTCTACATACATGCGTTGTTCTGGTTGCAAAATTCTGACGACAAATACGAGTCTCATTCGGCATTTCGTTTGAATTTGTTTTTCTCTGATTTTCAGATTCGAATGACAGTCTTTCCTCTAGCGGAGGAGAAAAAGACGAGTACTACACTTTCTCTCTATCTCTCTTCCCTTCTCGCTTTTTCTCTACACATACAGATGAACGTGTTTCTACTATTGTGAATTCTGACACTGTTCGATGTGCAGGTGAATGAGTTTATAGAGATACGCGAGCTTAATTTTTTGATATGATTTGTTTAAGCCTACATGTTTTCTTCATTGAAGACGAGCTATGGCTTAGTTTTGTAGTACTTAAAGATTTAGATCTTCTAGTTGTTGGACTTTCTCTGTTATCTCTGTTTGCTATGTGACTGTTTGACGAGCTTTCATTTTGAAATTTTGTAATCTTGAAGTTTATTCCTTTGACTGCTCGATCGTTGCATGCTAAATCAGTGTTTTCTATGCGGGACGGGCCAGTCCTGATCTCTGTATGTGATCGTGGACATTAATTGGGGATTCTTTGTTGCGTTTCTGGTAAATTTTATCACTGCTAGTTATGTCGACATTGATTTGTCTTGGTTCCTTAATAAATGTTCATGGGTTGAGTTGATTCAACTATAATCGGGTTAGTTGAAATGTGCTGGCATGTGGATTTTGACTCTTCCTCAATGCTCACAATGTGATCATAATTGTTATGCAATTAATATGTGGCGTTATCCTGAGGATTGGTGTTATTTTACTGAAAATTCTTGCACCTTTACATCTTCCTGTAAATTATATATTTGTTCCAATACAAAGAGGAATTGGATTAAAAGTAACTGGAACTGAACTATGATTTTATTTTGGCAAAAAGTTGAAGATTCTAAAATGAGGACATGTGAAGTAGATTAAGAACTCATTTAGTAAGTTAAATAGGTCAGAGGTAAATATTTGACTGGTTTTTGGCTACCAAAAGGATGTTGAACTTGAGGGACAGTATAGTATCAAAAGATAACTGGGTATGGTTCTCTGGGAGAAATCCAAGGGAGAGTGCTAGAGGGAGGAGCTTAATGAGAAAGTCTGAGACTGTTACAGAAGTTAGTTGGAGGTAAAGAGAGAAGATCATTTAGTCTGGTGATCAATTGCAAGTCATTCTGAGTAATTTTTGTTTCAAAGGTTGCACTTTAGTTAGCTGCAATTTTGCATCTACATTCCAATTTGATGGTTGTTCTGCCTTTGCATGCTTATAGTGGTGGTTTGCTTAGGTCTTATTAAGAGCAAGCCCCATCATGCTGGCACGTTGAATGAATCATGAACATGAAATGCTGTTGCCTGGGTGTAGAGAATGATAACCATGTTTTTTGGCTTTAAAATTTGGAAATCTCATCAGAGCAGCCTAGCGTTGCCACGGTTTTGGGAGCTAGTAGTTGGTAATTTGTGCAGCTTCTGTTTAGCCAGAATTTATCTTTTCCTCCTTAGACATGGAGACGGGGCGGGGTCAGATTAGAAGATTAGAGCAAAGTACTAACCGTTGGGATTAGTGGTTGGCTATTAACAGCTTTCAGCACTTCAAAATTTAGTATAAACATTTTTCTCCAGTTAATGTGTTGAAATTGCTGAAGGCTTCAATTTAATAGGTTTCAGAATTGACTAACATGTAAGATGACCATAATGTGGCGGAATATAGCCAGTGATGTGAGTATGGGTTGCAAAGGAGGATTTTTTGAGATTTATGTTTCTATATTAGCTTTTAAGTGAGTTCTCTATCATAAAAAGTTTGCTTATATACCTACTTATTATTTGGGCTAGTACATCTACTTTGTTATTCTTTCTTACCTTAAAGAATGAATGCACACGATTAATCTACAAAAATGAATTTCTGTGTGCATAATTCCAGTTTTTGGTGTTATGTGCATGTAAGTTTTTTTTTTTTTGGATAAAATTCTTAAAAAGTTTATGCTGTTGAATCCCAGATTTATCACTGTGAAATTGGCAGAAATACGGAAGGAAGTTCAGTGTCCAATATGTTTGGGTACGTGTTTCAAATTGTTAGAATTCGAATTGATACAAAGTTTTGAAAGAGGAATGTGTTACGGATAGTATTCATGCATTGTCATATTTAATTACGATCCATTACTTTCTTAAAAAAGATCTAACTTGGACAATTTGTGATAAGGATTGAAATAGTTCAAAGGTTGTGATAAATATTAAAACTAGTATTGCTGAAGCTTTTTGCATGACTATGTACATTGTTCCTTGGTGGTCACGAATTGGCTTTCATCAAAGTTGTTCATATGGTAGCTACTAGATACAAACTTCACTTCTCAACTAATGACTAGAATTGGCCTCAAATTCCATACATTATCTGCTCACCCTAATTTAATTCCTATGAAGATAGTCCTTAATCTTTTTAAGATCACTAAACTTTGTTTTCTGGTCTTTGAAAAGAGTTGTCTAAATGTTTGTTATGTAAAGTAAAATGGATGTATAGCCCCGCAATAAATAGAGGAAACTAAATGATTGGCCAAAATGAATTCTTGTTTTGACTCGAGCTATAGATGGCTGGAGACCTGCAAGAGATTTTGGTTCAGTCATTCAGGAATTTGGATAGGTAAGTTGAACATAGGATGAAATAGATAAACATAAAATAAAAAGGAAAGAGCAAAGAAGAAGAAAGTCCAGAAGAAAACAATGCTCGACTTCTTTATTCTTTTTTAGTTTCAGCTAAAACGTATGTCTAAATTTACTGAAAATGAGGTGGGGGAGGGTAGGACTTATAACTTGTATTGACTCAAGGGGTCTCTGTGTGCAATCGAAATATATTAGTTCTTGTACCAATGTTTTGCAAGCTAGTAATTCCATTATCATTCTTATTAGTAAGCTTGAAGAGAGAGACACCTACCTAGAGATTTCTTTTGCTTGAGAAAAAATTATCTTTATAACTAGTGCAACACTGAATCAGTTTATTGGAGTCTGGAATAAATTAATAGACTTGCATCTCATTATTGCCTATTGTGTTATTGTGCAGAAAGTGTATTTTTCCAACATTTGGATGTGGGTATGGGTGAAGAAATTAAGTTCCTCTTGGTTATAACTTGCCTTCCATGTTTGGTCAAATTAGTTCTGAAGATGTGATACTGTTTAGAGCTTTGTATGAACAGGTATTATTAGGAAGACAAGAACAGTCATGGAATGCTTGCATCGTTTCTGCAGAGAATGCATCGACAAATCTATGCGGCTTGGGTACTGTCTTGTGCTTCTTTTTTGTTTTATTGAATGTCAATGTGTTCTTGCCATTTACTGTATGTGTTGAGTTCTATGCAGGAACAACGAGTGCCCTGCTTGCCGCACACACTGTGCTAGTCGCCGCTCTTTGAGAGATGATCCAAACTATGATGCACTCATTGCTGCTTTATATCCAGACATTGATAAGTATGAGGAAGAGGTATTATTGGAGCAACAATAGCCCTTCTTCTGGGCAATATTTGATTCAATTTGCTTCGATTGAAACACTTGTCTTATCGCTGTTGTAGGAATTTGCTTTCCATGAAGAGGAGAAGACTCGCAATAAGCAGGTGACTAATATCATGATTAATCTTAGATTTCATTGCTCATACATATGCTACTTATGATTCTTAGTGTGCTATAAATAATGTGGAAAGCTATGGTTCCTCATTTACTCAAAAACTTTTTCCTGCAAACTCTCGCAGTTCCATTTTTTTGGCTGTTAGGAACATGTTAGATACCTTGTCAATGTTGGAACGAAGAGTCCTAAAATATCTCCTGTTAGTAGTGCATCTCTTTGGTTGTTTGATTTATGAAGTTAGGAATTTCGTGAATCTTCTAGCTTTAAGTTTCAAACAATCAAATTCCACCTGCTTAATATTTCATTTTTGCTCCTGGAGTATTCTACAGATCCAAGCCTCAATTGCCCAGACTTTTCAACGACAGTCAGAAGCACTAGGAAGGAAACGGACGTCAGCCAGAGCCACAGCAGCGGCATTTGTTAGGAGACAGGGCACATATCGAAATTTGAGGGCTCGGAGAAGCCATCGAGTTGTTGAACACCAAGGATCTGATGAGGAGGAAGGTTCTGATGGGCAAGATAGTGGCAAAGACTCATCTTCTGCTGATCAGCATTTTACAGAAGTCAAACCGAAAAGATACAAAAGATCGAGAGGAAGTAGAGTTTCTCAGCCTTCATCGGTAGCCAATGCTGATGCAAGCTGTGGTGAAAATGATTCAGATGTAAACAGAGAATTTCTGGGTGTAACAGTTGGCCTTGTTGGCAGCTCTGAAATTCTTGGTTGGGGGAAAGGTGGCATGCGTAGTAACACCCGTCATGGTGGTCTGAATGGGGCCAGTAGCAAGCTTTCTAGGAGTAACCGACTCCCAAAGCTAATTGACTGTCTCCAACGTTCAGATGAAAATGATGAGGTGGTAATACTTCTTAGTATCCTCGCTTGTGATCTTTCAAATTCTTTCCATATGATTTACTTAGCATGCTTAATTTCGCTCCAAATGTAAGGAGGGAAAGAGTCGACGGAAGGAAGAAAAACGGTCATTTTTTATTTTCCTTTGATTTCGACTCTATGAAATTACGTCAATACTTCCAAATATTATGGGTAACGTGTCTCCTACGTCAATACTTCCAAATATTATGAGTAACATGAGAGACATCTCTATTTTTCTTAGGGGAATCTTTAGAATTCCCACCGCTTAGCTTTCAATTCGCCTCTAACCATCAATGTGAATAACCCATTCTCCCCTCTTTGAAAGTTTGAAAGGAGGGGCGCCCCGCTTCCGATTATATTGGTGCTTGAAACAATTTTGTCTTCTCTATATTACTATATCTCTAGAGTAGAAATCTTGATATAATTGAATGAATTGAAGTAGACTTGCCGTTTAAATATAACATCAAAGTTTGTAAAATCATAATTAGGGAGTCGGCACTATGCTATTGAGTTTCACTGACCAAAGAGTGCTCATGATCTTGTTGTTTCAGTTAAAAATCAGTCTCTTGCTCGTTTCTTTGCACGAAGAGAAAATACCCAGCTTGCAACGACCTTACCTTTGCTGCAGCTCAACATCATCCGTTGGACACTTGTGCCAGGTAAATCCACCTGAATTTCTGGCTTCGTATACTTTATCATATTCAACGGAGCCCAAGTTCAAATTCTGATTAGGTTTTTGAGTCTCTTGCAGTATGTTGCTATGCGAACATCCATGGAAGCTACTGAAATCGAGATGCTAGTAATAAAAGATATTCATCCAACAATAAACTCCTCAAGCTTCGGGAAGGGATTCAGTATTATAAATCCTTACAACAATGAAATGCACTTGTTGAAAGAGCATCAGACCTTGGAGGAAATTCATGCCAGTTATACTCAGCAAAATCTGGTAAGGTTTCTTCATCTGTCGATGCATGAAAATAGGCTGATTATATAGTCCTAGTTCGCATTTATGGATTTTTTTGGCATTGAGGGATCAAACCTAAAGTCAATAATCAAGAGCCACCTTGTGTTGGATTAGTGAATCTAATTGATGGATACTAGTTATAAGGTAAGAGTTATGAACATTTTGTTGATCAATACGATGACCCATTTCTTTTAGCATTTGATCTGTCGACTCTGGCAAATAACAAGCCCTTTCGTCTCTGTTGTTTGATCTCTGAACTTGAGGCGGATCAGAAGTTGATTTAACTAATGCTACGTGGAAAATCATGTGCAGGCTGGATTAGAAAGTATTGTTGTATAATACAAAGTGAACACTGTTTTCTTCCCTTCTAATGATATTTGGGTGTTTGTAGGTTCTAGCATATCGGCAAAAGGCACAAGGTTGAGCAAAACCCATGACGACAGAGTTGGAATCTTCTCTCTCGAATGAATCCCTGCAAATATAATGCTGGAAGGAAGTTTGGTTTAATTTTATTGAAGTATGGTGCTTTCTCTTTATTGTTGTTCAATCAAGTTACTTCAGAAGTCGAAAATTACACATACAAGCAAGTAGATATACTGTCCTATAGCTCTATGTTTGAATCTTAAAGTTTGTTTACACATTTTATGTGTTTGTGCCTATTGCTTCACGAATGTAGCAGCCATCTAAACCGCACATTTTGGATCCAAACAAATGGACTCAAAATGCATGTTTAGTACATAATATTAGGTAGAACGTAACAATATAATATTGTCATGTGCTATCTATTCTTCCATACCAAGCAAGGCGAAAGACAACGAATAACCTAGAAATTGATTTGATAGAATAATCACTAGCAAATTAAATTTAAAATTGAACGAACACTTGAAATTTATAAACACACAAAGTTAACCCTATCAAGAATGACTTTATACATGCAGCGGCCATCAGGAATCCAAAGTTCAGCAATCCTGGAATAAAATCATACATTATCTTAATATATCCGAAATAACAAACGAAAATAACCCAAAATGGCAGTAATAATCATAGGGAGTACACCTAGATATCTTCGAAATAGGAAAGAAAAAAGAACCCAAAATGTTGGATAGAGACAAGATTTAGATTGTGACTCAAAACGTTTTCATCCAGTGGACCATGTCTCCGATACGCTTTCTCATATGCAGATTATTGTCAACATTTTTACTTTTTATTTGTTTATGTACACATTTGAAGCGTAACATGAGATTATATGATATTAAAAGGCTCGTGTAAAGACTTTCGTTTTAATATAAGTCATTTTGATTTTAGATCATGGAATTGGTACGACTTTACTAGACAAGAACGAACAATTGTAAAAAAAATATTTTTTGTTCCTTTCTTAACGTTATAATGTAAGAAAATACATAGTAGTTGTACACGGTAGGAGAATTAGGTTTTAGCTTCTCAAAGCAATCGCTGCCAACACCCTCTGTGACAAGGTTATTCCCGGGGTTCAAAACGCTCTACCGCACGCTCTCTCTATGCGTTGTGACATTGACAATGGAATTGTTGATATTCCAGGTGACTATGGTGTCCCTAGAGTGATCGATATCGATAGAGACGGGTAATTGCTACCACCCTCTCCATCTTAAAAAATAAAAAATTAATCATTTATATTGGTCAAGATAAGCAGCACATCATGCTTGCTAATAATGTTTGGTCCCACTTAATAGTGCGTTCGAAGAAATTAATTGGTGAACACTTTCTTCAAGTGTTTCAGGCCGCGATCGGGCTGAGGCCCCGCAACAACGTCATCCCAAAAGCTGGTCTAGCAGCACCATTTTCCCTCTGTTTTTTTCCCTCTTTTTTTTCTCCTTGTGCAAGTCTTAGAATGTGGAGAGGGGGTTGCTGGCTTGCTGCTAAAATATCTCTCTCTAGAATATAAAAAGAAAAAAAAAAAATTAAATTTTAATATTTCCCAACTGTTAATTTCTATGTCCAGATTGCTAAACCGTGTGGGGTTCAAGTAAAGCCGGTAGAGATAGCAATTAACGGTGTGATCAACGGAAAAGGAGGTAGTGGAATTAGAAGAAATTAATGTTGGTAAGGAGTGTCACAATCAAACCATGTACAAATCGAATACTTTGTTCTTGATTTTTGAATTATTCATACTTGATTTGAGACAATACATATTTACATTTAAAAAATATTTTTTCATTAATATTTTAATAATCATTTTCATTCATTTAATTTCGACGAGTCATTTTATTAATATTTTGTTCATCACAAGAAAATGAATATTTACGTTTAAAAATCGTATAATTTATTTGATGCAAATACTCAATTTAAACAATCGAAAGGAAAAACATATAACTAATAATCAATACTAATAATTAATCAAATAAATACAATTCGTTAAATATAAGTCAAATAGGATATAATAAGTTCAGACACATTCTATATACATAGTTTGATTAGAGAACATGCAAATTTAGGTTCTAATTACTTGCAAATTTGATTAAAAAGTGAAGATTTGTAGTAAATGTGATAATTTGTAAAAAAATTATATATAAATTTTAAAAAAATTAGAAGGGTTAAGATTTTGTTAAAAGACTTAAGGAAAATAGTAAAAGAGAGTAAGAGAAAAATTCAAATTTATTACGATTTTACCCCCTGTTTGGTGGAGATAAAAATCAAATTTTTAGTAAATTTTGATAAAAGTTAAACAGTTATAGATTTCATGAAATATATTGTTAAAATTAATTATTAACTTTGATTTATATTTCAATCGATACCAAACATGACTTTATAAAAATAATCTCAAAATATGGCCACTCCCGGTGTCACGGGCAACAGCTTTACTTAAGCCCCGTGACGCTATCGCAGTCGCTGCACTTCGACTGCACATTGTAAATATTTCATTTAATTGTAAAATAGTTAAAAATTAGAAAATTTTAGTATGATTCATTGGTCAAAAGACGTCTACTGGTGTCATTTGAGTTTTTGTTGCTAAGTCTATTATAGGGGGTATTAGTCTTTCAAAAATCTTTCAAACTTTCTAGT